AACAGTCTTGCCACTCTCGTTGGGAGTAAGAAGAGCTGCATAGCAGCCAGCAAACTTGTTGCAAGTTGCTTGCAGCGTACGCCATCCTGTACGCAAACTATTAACCCCGCGTTGATGCTGGACAAAACATAGCCCGACGAGGCCAATCGATCGACGAAGCTGTCGTGCACCTTCTCCCAAAACACCTCCAGCTTTTGTTCATTTCCCACAACAGGGTCTCTCGGTATTTCAAGTCACGCTGCGGCTAACTTCAAGTCTTCATTGGGGACGAAGTTCTTCCCCTTCTTGATCGTGTCCGTGGATGACGCTAGGGCAGTATCCAGCAAGCCCGCGCTTTCCACCGCTGCAGCTACCCGTTCTGCGATATCCTCCTCACAATTGGCGGAGAGACTGCACTCCGACGTCAGAGAGGCGTTGGAGTAACTGCTGTTCTCGTCTCCTACAGAACGACCACTGGCTGACGGGATCGGATGCGATGCAGTAGTTGCTACGGCGTCTTGAGCGAGTTGTAGGAATGGCGTCAATGGCGTGAGGAGTGTTGGCGTGGCCGCTAACGTTCTCTGGGCCAGCTCCAGCGACGGAGTTTGGCTTGGAGACATCATGCTGTGCGCGAGTTCTTGGTTGAATGGCGGTTTGCGTATAGCTCTACGCAAAGCTCCCTCGTGAGCAAACTTGCTCAAAAATCCCGCGTCAGTAAAATCAAACGTAATGTGCTCAAAAAATTACTTAACCGGTGGAGTGGACCAAACGAAATATTTGAGTAAATTTGGCTAGAAAAGAGCCAAAAATTAGTTTTACGCACAGCCGGTGGAGATACTCTCAGTAGGTCAAATGTTGAATTAAGTCAAGTCAAATGAGTTGCTGTGTAACGGGCTACATACCCCAAGTGTACCCAAGTTACATGAAGAGTGACCAGTCACTCTTGAGATACCCGGTACATGGTACCAGGGGCTCTAGGAGCCAATCATTGCATATCTACATAGCTTTACTATAGGCGAATTATAGTTTGTATTAGAAAACCAAGCTAAACTTACGTATAACTACAATTAGTCTTAAACGTACCCTTAATTGAGTACTTCGTCCCCTCAGACCAGGGACACGTGAACGGTCGTTCACTTAGATTTTGTATACTCTAGGAAGCCTACTTCCTCAGCGCAAGGTGCTGTGTGACCCCGTCACACTTGGTAGCACTTGTAGTCAATCCACGTCAACGCGAGTAGTCTACCTGAACCTCTAGCGTTCGTCACCATGGATCGGAATGAGTTTCCTTACCTGAACGACTCCCAATTCGTGTAGGTTCGGAAGATAGTGGGCATCTTCGGGATGCAAGCCTTGCAAAGCCTGGTGGCGTCAACACCGGCCGAGCAAGTCGAACGTGTCAATGCGATTGGCACGTATGAGCAAGGGCTCATCGCGCACGTGCGGGGAAACCTGCAGGCGCCGGCGGCTGAAGGAAAGCCGCCTCACCCGAAGCCATTGCGGCTAAAGGTGACACCATATGAAGGGAAGGAGGGAAATAACCTTCTCTTCTGGGTTCGAGAGGTAGAGCCCGCGATTAATGCGGCTCTGATCTCGACCAAGCAACTCCGCGTTGCTTAAACGCTCTCCAACCTTAGCGGTCGTGCCAAGAGTTGGGCGTACACGCGGGAGGCGACGTCGCCTGGATGTTTCACATCCTGGCCTCAGCTGTGTGAGCAGCTTCGAGCCGCGTTCCTCTCGGCGAACTACAAGTATCGCCAGCGCTCGCGCTTCCTCTCATGCAAACAAGGGAAGCGTGAGCTGCACGAGTACATCCAAGAGATGCGGGAGCTTACGGCATCCCTAGTGGGCAACCCAC